ATTTTAACCATAAATCTGTTTAAATATTACAACTATAAATCTGTTTAAATATTTTAACCATAAATCTGTTTAAATATTTTAACCATAAATCAGTTTAAATATTTTAACCATAAATCTGTTTAAATATTACAACTATAAATCTGTTTAAATATTACAACTATAAATCTGTTTAAATATTACAACCATAAATCTGTTTAAATATTACAACTATAAATCTGTTTAAATATTACAACCATAAATCTGTTTAAATATTTTAACTATAAATCTGTTTAAATATTACAACCATAAATCTGTTTAAATATTACAACCATAAATCTGTTTAATAATTTTAACCATAAATCAGTTTAAATATTTTAACCATAAATCAGTAAAATATTTCAACAGTTGAAGAACGTTGTGGACAACCCTGACCATCGTCTTCATCAGTCAGTCAGAGTCAAACTGTCTTCAGTTTGTTTTAAAACAGACACTACAGCAGATGTTTCCTGTTCACAACCATCAGCTTCTACAATAAGTCTTTAGTTAAATAGTTAAAACATCTGATTTCCTTCTGGGATCAATAAAGTATTTTTGAATTGAACTGAATGAAACTGAGCAATAAATCAGTGAAATAATCCAACATCACAGCTGGGATGAAGATGGTTCTGTAGATCAGAATCAGTTTTGATGTTTGAATCACACAAACTGTTAGTTTGACACACTTTTGACAAATCTTTTCTTTAGCAGGTAAGATATTTATTTATTTTTCTAATTTTTCTACAGAACCTCGTATTAAAACGTCTGAACTATCTCTTTTAGCTGCAGTTTCTGTATATATCTACTTTACTCTGCCTCAGATTTGTTTGTTTGTCTGATTGTTTGTTTGTCTGATTGTTTGTTTGTCTGTTTGTTTGTCTGTCTGATTGTTTGTTTGTCTGATTGTTTGTCTGTCTGATTGTTTGTTTGTCTGATGGTTTGTTTGTCTGATTGTTTGTCTGTCTGATTGTTTGTTTGTCTGATGGTTTGTTTGTCTGATTGTTTGTCTGTCTGATTGTTTGTTTGTCTGATGGTTTGTTTGTCTGATTGTTTGTCTGATGGTTTGTTTGTCTGATTGTTTGTTTGTCTGATTGTTTGTTTGTCTGATTGTTTGTCTGTCTGATGGTTTGTTTGTCTGATGGTTTGTTTGTCTGTCTGATTGTTTGTTTGTCTGATTGTTTGTTTGTCTGATTGTTTGTCTGTCTGATGGTTTGTTTGTCTGATTGTTTGTCTGTCTGATTGTTTGTTTGTCTGATTGTTTGTTTGTCTGATGGTTTGTTTGTCTGATGGTTTGTTTGTTTGTCTGATTGTTTGTCTGTCTGATTGTTTGTTTGTCTGATTGTTTGTTTGTCTGATTGTTTGTCTGTCTGATGGTTTGTTTGTCTGATGGTTTGTTTGTCTGATTGTTTGTCTGATGGTTTGTTTGATTGTTTGTTTGTCTGATGGTTTGTTTGATTGTTTGGTTGTCTGATGGTTTGTTTGATTGTTTGTTTGTCTGATTGTTTGTTTGTCTGATGGTTTGTTTGATTGTTTGTCTGATTGTTTGTTTGTCTGATTGTTTGTTTGTCTGATTGTTTGTCTGATTGTTTGTCTGATTGTTTGTTTGTCTGATTGTTGGTTTGTCTGATTGTTTGTCTGTTTGTTTGTTTGTCTGATTGTTTGTTTGTCTGATGGTTTGTTTGTCTGATAGTTTGTTTGTTTGATTGTTTGTTTGTCTGATGGTTTGTTTGTCTGATAGTTTGTTTGTT